TCGGGACGCCATTACTAGGGACGCCATTACTAGGGACGCCATTACTAGGGACGTCGTTACTCGGGACACCATTATTAGGGACACCATTATTAGGGACGCCGTTACAAGGGACGCCATTACTCGGGACGCCATTGTTAGGGACGCCGTTACTAGGGACGCCATTACTCAGGACGCCATTGTTAGGGACGTCGTTACTAGGGGCGCCGTTACTAGGGACGCCATTACTAGGGACGCCGTTACTAGGGACGCCATACTAGGGACCGTACTAGGGACGCCGTTACTAGGGACGCCGTTACTAGGGACGCCGTACTAGTGACGCCATTACTAGGGAAGCCATTACTAGGGACGCCGTTACTAGGGACGCCATTACTAGGGACGCCATTACTAGGGACGCCGTTACTAGGGACGCCATTACTAGGGACGCCGTTTTTTAGGGACGCTATTATTAGGGACGCCGTTACTAGGGACGCCGTTACCAGGGACACCGTTACTAGGGACGCCTATCGCAAGCCTGGCGGTCCTCATGGCCAGCAGAGAAAATTTTTAATTCCCACTACACATCAGCTCGTTAGTTGTAGCAGGATTTTGAATTTTGTAGTCCACATAGGTCGTAGAATCATTTATATTTTTGCTTGCACACCATCTGATGACGTGCTTTGAAACAATGACTAATTATTACCTTCATCTATGGAAACATGGATTTGCATAGAAGTTCATCAAGTTCGTACAGTGGGACTTGATACAGATATATATTTACACTGACTATGGAGCGTGTATGATTGATTGCTTAATAATAATTAGCTACATGTTTACAATTTAACACACTTTGACAAAAGATTACAGTTCAATACGAGTCCCCATCATTGCAAAGCATAGGTGGAAAGCTTAAGTTTACTGGATTTGTAAGGTTGAAAAGTCTTTCTGACGTAATTGATTTGTAAAATGTTCATTAAAAATAACCCATGAATTCTAGTCCATATCAGAGAAATTATAACTGTTGTATCTGATGCGTGGTATGTTACTTATTAACTTTAGATTATGGCAAATGCAGCCCTTGAAATGTTTACGTGTCTAAATATTGCATTTGCCGTTGCAGTGCCTCCAAAAGTTAATGTCACCATCGGCATCAAAATCTCTACAGCCATGAATGTCTCATGGGCACCTATTATTGCTGTAGACGTTGACTACTACATTGTCTACTTGAATGAAACCAACAACTCAACAGCAGTGAAGAGCTACAATTTGACCTCCGCCATTACAACACAAGAGTTTAAAGATCTGGTTCCTGGTAGAAGTTACCAGGTATCTGTAACAGCGTACAGTGGCAATGGCTCCCAACCATCAGCCATCGTCCCAGCCAGGACATGTACGTATATATGCAACGTTCATCTTCGTGTAATCGCTTTGATTTTTGTAAACAAGTGCTCAAAAAATCGACACGTTTAATAACTCGTTGAATACATCCTCAATTAGTGACATCAAAGAACTTAATGCATACTTAATTATCAAAATGCAGTAACTTTAAAGAATTTAAAATTACAAGTTGCACATACTTATAAAAGAATACACTATAGGTTTAATAATGAGGACAGATTAAATCTACAGGCAACTATTTTACATTATAAAAAAAAGCAAGATGCATTTTAATGTCGATTAATTTTCAAACATCGACATGTATAAAATACGACCCATTGTTCGATAATTCAATCATCTAATTCATCCGGCACCGTCCACCAGGCTGGCTGATGCTCTCTTGCTCGCCCAGCCTTTGCTATGGATACCATTACCAGGGACGCCATTACTAGGGACACCGTTACTAGGGACGCCGTTACAAGGGATGCCGTTGCTAGGGACACCGTTATTAGGGACACCGTTACCAGGGACACCGTTACCAGTGACACCGTTACCAGGGACACCATTACTAAGGACGCCGTTACCAGGGATGCCGTTACCAGTGACACCGTTACAGGGACACCGTTATCAGGGACACCATTACTAGGGACGCCGTTACCAGGGACACCGTTACTAGGGACGCCGTTACCAGGGACACCGTCACTACGAAGTCTGTTACTAGGGACGCTGTTGCCAGGGACGCCGTTACTAGGGACGCCGTTACAAGGGACGCCGTTACCAGGGACGCCGTTACTAGGGACGCCGTTACTAGGGACGCCGTTACTAGGGGCGCCATTACTAGGGACGCCGTTACTAGGGGCACCGTTACTAGGGACGCAGTTACTCGGGATGCCATTACTCGGGATGCCATTACTCGGGATGCCGTTACTAGGGACGCCATTACTAGGGACGCCGTTACTAGGGACACCGTTACTAGGGACGCCATTACTCGGGACGCCGTTACTCGGGACGCCGTTACTCGGGATGCCGTTACTCGGGACGCCATTACTAGGGACGCCATTACTAGTGACGCCATTACTATTGACGCCGTTACTAGGGACGCCGTTACTAGGGACGCCGTTACTAGGGACGCCGTTACTAGGGACGCCATTACTAGGGACGCCATTACTCGGGACGCCGTTACTAGGGACGCCGTTACTAGGGACGCCGTTACTCGGGACGCCGTTACTAGAGACGCCATTACTCGGGACGCCATTACTAGGGACGCCGTTTTTAGGGATGCCATTATTAGGGACGCCGTTACTAGGGACGCCGTTACTAGGGGCGCCATTACTAGGGGCGCCGTTACTAGGGACGCCATTACTCGGGACGCCATTACTAGGGACGCCATTACTAGGGACGCCGTTACTAGGGACGCCGTTACTCGGGACGCCATTACTAGGGACGCTGTTTTTAGGGACGCCATTATTAGGGATGCCATTACTAGGGACGCCGTTACTAGGGACGCCATTACTCGGGACGCCATTACTAGGGACGCCGTTACTAGGGACGCCATTACTCGGGACGCCATTACTAGGGACGCCGTTACTCGGGACGCCGTACTATGGACGCCGTTACTAGTGACGCCGTTACTAGGGACGCCGTTACTCGGGACGCCGTTACTAGGGACGCCGTTACTAGGGACGCCATTACTAGGGACGCCGTTACTCGGGACGCCCATTACTAGGGACGCCATTACTCAGGACGCCATTACTAGGGACGCCATTACTAGGGACGCCATTACTAGGGACGCCGTTACTAGGGACGCCGTTACTAGGGACGCCGTTACTAGGGACGCCATTACTAGGGACGCCGTTACTAGGGACGCCATTACTAGGGACGCCATTACTAGGGACGCCATTACTCAGGACGCCATTACTAGGGACGTCGTTACTAGGGACGCCATTATTAGGGACGCCGTTACTCGGGACGCCATTACTAGGGACGCCGTTACTAGGGACGCCGTTACTCGGGACGCCGTTACTCGGGACGCCATTACTAGGGACGCGATTACTAGGGACGCCGTTACTTGGGACGCCATTGCTAGGGACGCCATTACTAGTGACGCCGTTACTAGGGACGCCGTTACTCGGGACGCCATTACTAGGGACGCCGTTACTAGGGACGCCATTACTAGGGACGCCATTACTCGGGACGCCGTTACTAGGGATGCTGTTACTCGGGACGCCATTACTCGGGACGCCGTTACTCGGGACGCCGTTACTAGGGATGCCGTTACTCGGGACGCCGTTACTAGGGACGCCGTTACTCGGGACGCCGTTACTCGGGACGCCGTTACTCGGGACGCCGTTACTAGGGACGCCATTACTAGGGACGCCGTTACTAGGGACGCCGTTACTCGGGACGCCATTACTATGGACGCCGTTACTCGGGACGCGTTACTCGGGACCGCGGTTACTCGGGACGCCGTTACTCGGGACGCCGTTACTAGGGACGCCGTACTCGGGACGCCGTTACTCGGGACGCCGTTACTCGGGACGCCGTTACTAGGGACGCCGTTACTAGTGACGCCATTACTCGGGACGCCATTACTAGTGACGCCATTACTAGGGACGCCGTTACTAGGGACGCCGTTACTAGGGACGCCATTACTCGGAACGCCGTTACTCGGGACGCCGTTACTAGGGACGCCGTTACTAGGGACGCCGTTACTCGGGACGCCGTTATCGGGACGCCGTTACTAGGGACGCCGTTACTAGTGACGCCATTATTCGGGACGCCATTACTAGTGACGCCATTACTAGGGACGCCATTACTAGGGACGCCGTTACTAGGGACGCCGTTACTAGGGACGCCATTACTAGTGACGCCATTACTAGGGACGCCATTACTAGGGACGCCGTTACTAGGGACGCCGTTACTAGGGATGCCATTACTCGGGACGCCATTACTAGTGACGCCGTTACTAGGGACGCCGTTATCAGGGGCGCCATTACTAGGGACGCCGTTTTTAGGGACGCCATTATTAGGGCCGCCGTTACTAGGGACGCCGTTACTAGGGACGCCGTTACCAGGGACACCGTTACTAGGGACGCCTATCGCAAGCCTGGCGGTCCTCATAGCCAGCAGAGAAAAGTTTTAATTCCCAGTACACATCAGCTCGTTAGTGTAGCAGGATTTTGAATTCTGTAGTCCCCATAGGTCGTAGAATCATTTATATTTTTGCTTGCACACCATCTGATGATGTTCTTTGAAACAATGACTAATTCTTACCTTCATCTATAGAAACATGGATTTGCATAGAAGTTTATCGAAGTTTATCGAGTTCGTACAGTGGGACTTGATACAGATATATATATGATTGATTACTTAATAAAAATTAGGTACACGCAGAGGTGGAAAGCTGAAGTTTACTAGATTTGGAAGGCTGAAGAGACTTTCTAACGTAATTGAAGGATTTAGTTTGTAAAATAAATGTTCAAGAAAACAGGAGAGCACTCGAATACCGTGTGGATGTCCGAGTCCAATGGAAGTTCATATCACAGTAACCGTTGTATCTGACGTGGTGTTACTTTAATGATTTTAGTTCACGGCAAATACAGCCCTTGAAATGTGTACGTGTCTAAATATTGATTTTGCCGTTGCAGTGCCTCCAACAGTCAATGTCACCATCAGCGCCACCACCACTGTAGCCATGACGGTCTCATGGGCACCTAATATCACTGTAGACGTTGACTACTACATTGTCTACTTGATTGAAACCGATAACTCAACAGCAGTGAAGAGCTACAATTTGACCTCCAACATTACAACACAAGTGTTTACAGGTCTGGATCCTGGTAGAAGTTACGAGGCATCTGTAACAGCGCACAGTGGCACTGGCTCCCAACCATCAGCCAACGTCACAGCAAGAACCTGTACGTATATATGCAGGGTTTATCATCGTGTA